TAAGTCACCACCACTACCTATACATTTTCCCCAGCAATGAACACAGTGCTTATGAAAATTTACACCTGTGGATGTGACCTACTGTCACTGTTGCCACTACTGAAATGCGTCATCCATTGCCTCGCTGTGCTCACATCCAACAGTCTGAAGACTGTTCGGTCTTCAGAAACATTCAGCAAGCACTGATGCATGTAAATATTTGCCATTCTTTTTCCACAAAGAGGAAATAAATTCCACTCCTTTCATTCATGCACACCACCATGTCAGACATCACTTTTTAAGATGCCTCTCTGCTGCCATCTGTCGCACAACAAAATATAATGGAATACTTGTGGGAAGGCTCAGCCTCTAGTGCCATACATCTCTGATGTCACAGGCAAACATAATAAAATAGGAAGCATCACTTTCAGGGCAGCTGTTGTACAGAACAATGTATGTATATATATTCATATTCATATACGCATAGCATACATCTGACAACAGTAAGAAAGCAAAAACAAAGTGGGTAGTAGCGTCTGTTTGTCAGATAACTGTTCCAGCTAAGTAAGTGAACACAGAAGTCACACATGTCCAGATGACCAAACAAAGCCTGAAAGATCCTACAGACAGTGCTGTTAGCACAACAGTCTGCTGCAAGTAAGAGCAACATCATATTTACAGGGCTACAAGTCTACAAAAGCATAACTTCACATAAATGGTCAAGAAAAAAATGACAGTGGATTAACAGTATCTTCAACAGCTCCTGATTTGTTTCAACAATCTTTCTGCTGCTGCAGATGAAGCAGATTTTGGCATGATTTCAATACCTTCTGCATACACTCAAAGAAGCATTCAGACACCATGAATCTTCTTCTACAACCCCACTTTTTCCCCCCTTTTTATAACTAGTTTTCCAACCTTGGCTCTCTTTTGGAAGGATTAAATATAGGATTATACATCACTTATGGCTGTCTCTGCTGTAATAATGCAATAGTTTTCAAAAGAATCTGGCAGAGGCAAAAAGGGAAAAAGTAAAACAAACAAACAAACACACACTTTTTTCAGTTACTTTTGGCTAACTCTTTATCATGATGTGTCACAACAACGAGAGTAATTGGCTAAACTGGCACTCTGTCCCTTGGAAACCTCAATCCAGAGTCTTGCAGTGGGAAGTACTTGGCTTGCCCCAACTTACTGATATTCCTTTTCTTTAACTGTTCAGCATCATTTTAGGTGTGGTACTTGTGCTATAGCCTTGTGCTTCCCTTTACTTCAGTTTAGGGACCTGACTGGCCCTCGGTGGCTGAAGCTGCTCACAAAGCACATCACTAGGGAAAGCACAGCACTAAAGCTGGCCACAATTATCACTGTAATAAACAGCAAAATATACTGAGAAACTGCAAAAGCATCAAGTGACAAGGTGTGCATGTAGGGTATGGAGATAAGGGTACTTACCTATTCACAAATACAAGAGGCCACTAAGGCTGTTTCACACAGAGATTATTCTCTTGACCAATCTAGGTTCATCCTAGACAAATATCTTCTTCTAACCCTTTAAGCATTTGGCATTGCCACGTCAGACAGGCAAATGTCTTCCTGGAGGATAGGAGGAGTTCCTCAATCTCTCCCCAAGGCTCTGAGCCAGCCCAATACATTACACCACTTAAGGTACCTTGTTTCTTGACATGACCCTTTAATAAGGATAGACAGTACAGATGTACTTAGTGAAGTGCTCCCAGCCCTGCTATCATCTGACGGATATTTCCTGTTAGAGCTAATGAGGTTCTGCTCCCACTTATCTCTAGATATGGCATAGTTAGCACTTTTTAGTTTGCTTAATGACATGCTATTAATAAAGACAGGACCTGAACAGTTACTTGCATTTATTGTCTTTTTTTTTTTTTTTTCTTCCATTTTTATAATTATGTTGAGGCATTTAATTTTTTAAGATCATAAACTATTGTTTTGTTTGGTAAGTTGTATATAATGATGCTACACTTCCATGAAAGCACTCACCAAGGTCAATGCACAAGTTAGCAATTTATCTGAAACATTCATCATGATATTGAAATTGCTTCGCTATTTCATCAAGGTATTGTTATTATTACTGCCTTATTGACACAGTAGTATGCAAACCCACTCTAAGGAGGGGTGAGTCCTCTGTAATTACCTGCTTTTTTCAAGGAGTTTCAAATTATCAAACTATGCTTAACTGTAACTGTTGAACAGTTAATATGCTGAACAGTAACAGCTCAACATCTTTACTTCTTTTCTAATGAGTAATAGCCCTAACAAAAATGTAGAGCAACTGACACCTTTATCCAAGCAAACTGTAATTGGCATAAATAGAAGAATCCAAAGTTTTTGATGGAGGTAATGAAACAATAGTATAACTCTCTGATCAAAATCATTACCAGACAATCTTGGTCCAAATGAGATTTTCAGTGTGCGTGTGTATGTTTGTTTAAGGCACAAACATTAAACAGTAGATAATTAACTTCTGCATCATTATTGTAAATTGAAAATAAACAAGCAAACAAATGTTAATTACGTTTAATTCTCAAAACAAGAAACCTTGTTTATGTGAGTGAAATAAGAGTGAATTGAATTTTAATGGGATTTGTGTGTTTTCTCTTTTTAGGCTTGATTTGGTTCTATCACTTTCCAAATATGGGTTCTTATTTTTGCTTTTGCATGACATCAAATTGCCCAAAAGCTATTGCAGTTCTCTGATAACAGAGCTCTGTCTACAAATCTGTTACTTATTTTAAAGTACATATTAGAAAAGAGCAAAATATCTAAATTATGATGGCATAGGTGTTTATCTGTGGCTTCTTGCAAGATTAACTAAACCCGATCAGCCCTACCTCCTCTTCCATGTAATGTGCTTGATGGCCTTGTGCTGGCTATGCACCAATGTGCACATGCGCCGGGAAGCTCATGAATGCACAAAGTCCTGCAAAAATGGTTTTACCATTTGTCGGAGAAGAAGAAAAGAAACACCTCCTTGACCCGGTCTGGCACCCTTGCTAATGCAGCAAACAGTTGTCTTCTCTGCTGCCAGCACACACTGCTGATTAATCTACTAAGACTCCAGGTACTTTCCTGTTTTTCATCTACACTGTGTAACTGTGTAACTAAACTGTAGCATTGGGTTATTCCATCCTTGCAGCAGATTATGCATTTGCCCTTGCTAAAGTGTCTGAGGTGTTAATTTCTTTTCTTCCAGTTTGCTGAGCTTTTTTTTCTGACCAGCAGCCCTGCCCTCTAACATATCAGCCACACTTTCCAAGCAGATATCATCCACAGACTTTCTGACAGTGCACTCTGTCCTCATTTCTAGGCTCTTGATAGCAATAAGTAGTTCCTGCCTCAGTGTCATCTCCTAAGGGATATCGCCAGTGTCCAGATAGCAGCTGGAGTTTGCACTACTGGTCAAAGCCTTTGGAACTGAGTGGCTCAGCAGCTTTCTGTCTGCTTTTATCCATCAGAGAATGAAACAAATTTGAAAAAAACTTCTATATATTTACAACCATTTTTCAACCTCCTTACAAAACTTTCTTTGTTTTTTACTACTTTGAAGTCAAGGAGGAAATATAGCATTCAAATACATAAACACAAACCAAAGAAGAAAATAAAAATTAGTTAACAGAATGCAGTCAAGCTTAAGAAAACTTAGGAATTATATGCATGTGCTATGCTTACAAATGATCTTAATTAGCACCTAATTACAATTTAGTTCGGCTAATCAGATGATCAACTGCATTGATTCTTATCAGCTGATTAACCCTAATATAAAGTACTATGAAAATTTACAAGACTGCAATAGAAAATTCAAGTTACTTTCAAGTACTTTGTTCTCAGGAAGAAAAAAAAAAAAAGAAATGAGGTCTAAGTTTTGCTTTCTTGTCTAGCTTGCTTAGGACAAAAAAAAAAAAAAAAAAAAAAGAAAAAGTAAAAAGTTTTCACTCAAATAAGGAATAAAGATGGCATATAATAGCATGGTTTGACCCACATACATTCAAGTCTGAATTTGGGAGTGCAAAGAGCTTCATTAATTTTCTGCTTTAAATAAATTAACACTTCCAAAGATTTTAAATGGAGTTCTACAAATGTATGATGGGAGCTATTTCAAAACAGATCTTGAACCATTGCTGCATAAAACTGTAATGATCATAAATGACAAATGACTGATAACATGACAAATGAGGACATACATGGGGCTCTGAATTTCTGTATGTCATGGTTGAACACTTCTCATCCTGATAAATCATCTCTTCATCAACTTTAATACTGTGAATATTTGAGAACAAGAAGTGAACCTGGCCTGAAATTTACCTTTTTGAAGAACAATGGGTTTTTACAACATTCCTTCGTTACTTCTCTGGCTTGAAAGTTAAAATCAAGTCAAAGAAATTCACTGATAAGTACACAAAAAGTCAAAATAGACAGTAATAATTAAAATTTTACCCTTGGGAAGTGTAGTACCATGACATCACCCAGTGCAAAGAGAAGTGTCTACTTTGTACGTATATGGACAATTAATATATGGGCCTTGAATTTGTATTAAAGAAATTTTATTGATAGAGACCATCTCAAAGGCTTTTCTAAATTACATACAGATATGCACACACATATATACACATATGTATTTATGAAGTAGGTGTAATCTCCCTTTGATGTTCATTTTTATCTCCTCATAACACAAGTGTGTTTTTACCTAACCTGTGGTCACCGAAAAAATAAAAATAAATTTTCATTACTTCTTTGGAGCCATAAGAAAATAGATGCTAGGAGTCAATACAAACTAATTCTGTTGGTATTCTGATCTGACTATTGACCCTGATCTAATCCTGATTTGTCTTGTATACTTACATTATACTCTCTTGAAATGAAAATACTGGTATTGAACATGCAGAATGGAATACATCAAAACATTGTAATCCTCCTTTAAATTCCACATTTGTTTACAACTCCACTTGCAAGACAGCTGAATGAAACCCAAATACGGATTTCCTTACCTCCTTGTCAATTGCTTATCCTTTCTGCCTGCCTCCATAGTCCACAAACAAATGTGATAGGGCTGTCACTGAATACAAAACATTAAGGAAAAAAAATGCTTTAAACTTCAGAAAAAAAAGTCTGTATAGAAATAAAGTCATTCAGATACCTATTATAAGGACAGTCAGATGTAATGCACTCTTGCTTTTCAAACAACAAAATAAATTCTAAAATTGGAAAATACAGGCAATTTAGTAATTTTTCAAAGTGAGAACAACTAAATTCTTAAAAAATGAAAATCTGTTTTCAGGAACTTGATAGATTTTAGTTTAGATATGTCAATAGCTTGCTGGTTTTTCTTGATATACTTTTATTTTCCTGTTTTCTTGGTTGTGCCTTATCTAATTCTTGTGGAAATCCCAATTTGTGTCACTGATTTACCTCTCAGTCTCTGTGATTGATCTCTCATTCAAATGCAACTCTTTCCTTTTTCATCACCTTGCCTCCAATTCACTGTAACAGAATGGAAATATGCAAAAAATGATACTCAGAAATCAAAATATTATATATTATATACATTTTTGAAGAATAATAACGAGGTAAACTGCAGTAGCAAGGTAAGCATACTCCTTTTCTCGCTGTCTCGTTTATGTAAAAAAATTACTAAAAAGTAAATTAGGATCCTGCATCGACTGGCCTAACATATTCAGTGTTTGTGATTTTAGGAATTAACCCTCACTACTCATTCCTATTGTCTGGTTATAAAACTGAGGAATCATCTTAATACCTGTGGAATAGCAAGAATTAGAGTCCTAAACAGTTTAAATGTGAAATACTAAACATCATATTTGTTTTACTGTTCCCTTAAAAAGTTGATTTTTGGAAAATGTTCTCTAACATTCCACTGGAAAAAGCTGCATAACGTTTCTATATTACTACAGATATATGAAGATGTAGATAAAGCAATCTGCAAATCTCAGTCACGCCTTTTTTGAAACTGAGGTTAGTTTCAAAATACTGCATTGATCTTAGAACTTCATAATCAAATGCATTGACTGGCATGGGAATGAAGCCAAACTGCTTTGAAAGCCTTTGCTTTATCTCCCCAAGGGCAGTAGAAGAAAGTGTACGAGGGGAAACAGTCTGACTTGATCTTTATTTCTAAGTAAAGTTCACAACAAAGATATTACATACAAAAGCCACTTGTACCTTGCTGTGTGCTGACAAAGAATTTACTTAAACTTATTAAAAATAAAAAAAGAAAGAAAAATAGAAGCAATAACTTTTATATATCTGTAGGAAACAGTAACGTGACAGCAAAGTCTGCATTTTTTTGAATTTTAGGTGTTTTCTGTCATATTGGTTCTACAGATAGTTGATGATTCGGTGGCATTACCATCTACTAGCAGCAGATTCTTACTGGAACAGTCACTAGACTTTATCCTGCTACTCAACTTCTCTTTCTTTAGAGTCTATCAGTCTTCATGACTGTAAACCCAATTTGCCCTTAGAAAAACTGCACACAATTACTTCTGTAAGGTTTTAAGAAATGGAACAATGGATCACAGGAGTTCGCTTTCTGTTTAGACCTTTCTTGTAAAACACTACTATCAGTACATACAGAATAAACACATATGAAACATTTATGGAAATAAAAATGATTGTAATTTCCTTTTAGCAAAAAATATTCAGAGAAAAATGCACTTTGTGGTGAGTACATACTTCAGTTCTGTTTGCATTAAGTGCTTCACCCCATAACTGACTGGGAGATTTCTCACATGGGGATCAGTCATGATGGTGCTTTGGTGAATTTGATATTCTTTAAAGACTGTAATTAAAATTAAACATTTTCAGAAACAAAGAAAAGACAGACCTGATCTCTCTAAAAAACAAACAAACAAAAAAAAACAAATCAGCAATGGTCACAAAAATAATACAACTATTCTTAATTTCCCATCTCCCCCCCCCCCCCACCATTTTTTTTTTTTTCCCAAGGACTGTCTTCTTGATTAACAAATCAGATTTAACACTTGCATATTAACACATTATAGCTGCTAATATATTCAGACAATGACAGTGGTAGTAACAATGAGTTCACCGGTGTTGCAACACGTGCAGTCCCAAGAACTTTTTGCCCTGTAATGTTACTTACTAATTGAAGTGCTGACTGTTAGGGTCTTACTGCAAAAAAGCTGTAATTTTGTAACATTAAAATCTTAAGGATCAGAATCATAAGCCTGAGTATTTCGTATGATAGAAGAACTCTCCTCAATTTATTAAAAATGGTATCTCCAGCTGTGGGCTTGCCTTTCTAATCCACTGTTACGGTACCACCTGAAGCAACAAAAGATGGTGTAGCAGATTTCAAACTGCATGTTCCTCAAATAAAACACGCTGTAATTACCAGCCTAATGTCTTCCAATCACCTTTCCTTTATCTCTGTCCTACTGACTTTCTGTAATCAAAACATTTTTTTTTAATAGTCTAAGAGAAGAGAATCATCTTTGAAATGTTCATTTCATCTACTTTTCTTTTTTTTTTTTTCCTGTTAGAGGAAGATCTCTTTTCTAATTATCCTAGACTAACTTACCTTTCCTACAACATGTGCATGATCTGATCAGAAACAGAGAAATAACATGCAGTACTTCTTTGCAAGAGAACATACAGTCCTGGATTTGTAAAATGAGTATCATTCAAGTATTCAAAAACGGAAGAATTAAACCTGTTCTCTGATGGCTGGATCTTTGATACAAATCTACCAGCTGGCCAAACCAGATACCAAGCACATCTGCCATCTATGGAAATCACAAAACTGTTTAATTGCAAAAAGTGAAAGGGAAAAGGAAATTCATACAAAGAAAAAACTTTAAAAACAAAACAAAACAAAAAACAACCTATAGCATGAAAGTAAACATCACTTCTGATAAAACAATCTATATATTTTCAGTTTTTCTATCATCATGCTTACTTCAATGAGCTTATCACTGTGCATGAGCAGAACTGTTTCTTTCTACTTACAAAAGATCACCTTGTAATTTTTTTTCTGATTCAATGTCTCATTGTTTTTAACTCTCAGAAACAACAGTTACTTTAAAAAAAAAAAAGAACTAAATACTCTACAATTTTGATTCAAATGTCAGTTAAAGAACCAGAAAGTAGAAGCCCCCCAACTACAACATGGTTAGTTTTGAATAGTAAATGTATAAGATCTGTGTAAGTTCTTTACATATATGAGACAAGTGGTATGTTAGTGAGAAATAAGAAAAAAATGCTTAATGAATATGGCAAGCAAGGTTTCTTTCTTCAAGAGTGAAAAAACAGATAAATTACAAAATTAAAATAATCTTGCTCACTAACAAGTGAGGCATTAGCCAGAAATGACATGTAGTAATGTAGCACGCAATGGAACTGAAGGCTACAAGAGCGTACAGCCTGCTGTGTGGAGACACTGTATTTCCAGATTATTCTGGTCCACTGTATAAGCAAATCCTTAATAGTATTCTAATGGCTCTGCCAAATAGATCTTCTGATGTTCTATGCTCTGGTAGAGTTCAGATGACAGACTGTTGCTTCACACGGATATTTTTATATCACTCTGACTGACTTTGAGCTTCTAACAGCATCAAATTAAAAACAAAAAATAAAATAAAAAGGATATCAAGGATGAGATGGACAGACAGTAAAATCAGAAAGCTTTGTTTCTCATGATGTCCCATCCTTCTTGGTGTCAGCACATAGGACTGCTGCTCACTATATTCCTGTTGCATGATCAGTAAAGATGCTCTTCAACTGATAGATAGGCACTGCTTCCCAAGACATTTTAGTGAAGAAAAACTCTCACAAGCTCAAAGTGTATACAAAGGAACATCAAATACATCTGAACAGTGAGAGCTAGCATTCTAAATAAACTACATATGCTCTATAAACAAAATATTTTTTATAGAAAGAAAATAAGCAAACAGTCTTCAGTTTACAGGTTTAATTAAAACAGCCAGAGCATTTCACAGTATGAATTAGAAAATCATGGAAATAAATTAAGGACACAAACTGTGCTGGTTTCTAAACTGCTCTTCCACTGCACATATTTGTGTTTTATAATCCTGACTGTCTTTTTTTTATTTTGTTGTTGTTTTGCACTTATTACAGAACAGAGTAACAACTGACTGTCCCTACATTCAAACAAACAATCATCTCGTCAATTAGTTCACATAATTCTCATAAAGCCTACATAAAACATCATATCAAGAAGCTGTAGAGTAGGGTTTATATTGTATTCTATTTCACATGGGGGTATTTAATCTATATGCAGAGAATGAACTATTGTGAAGGCAGGCTGCCCAGAGAGGTGTCCCCATCCTTTTCAAGAAAAGGGTAGATGACGCACTGAGGGACACGGCCCAGAGCCGTCATGGGCATGGGCTGATGGTTGGACCAGATGATCTTAGTGTTCTTTCCAACCTTAATGGTTCTATGATTCTGATTGGTGAGTTACAAATGTGAGGGGCTTCTTATGTTCATACTTTAGTGTCTACAAAACTAATTCAAATAACAGGCTAATTCAGCCTACCTAGGGTCAAAACATTCTGTGATATTTCCTCTCTATTTATCCTTTCCTCTTTAAGGTGGAAGAACAACTTCAGAAAGTTTGACACCTGAAAATAAGAAGGCCGAATGCAACATTATTTTGCATCCTCACCCTTGGGCACAGGGAGCCAGTGAGGATACAGCACTGCCCAGCATCAGATCTGCTGTGGTTTTTCTGATCAACAGCAGCAGCTTTAGAGCCTGTAATACAGTGTGTGTGTCACACATTAATGAACACTCAGATGAGCTGCACGTCAGTGATGGTGTTACAGTACTATGGAGTTTCATTATTTACTCTAGTATTTACTCCCTTTTAAGCCAAAACCCTTTAGGTATCTACACTTTCTAAATTTAAAATACAGAAGTTGAAAAGCACATTAAAAAATACAATGGGTACAAATGCATACAGGAGATAGCAAGTTGACTTTAAATTGCTTGCAGTAAGTTTCCAAACTTCAGTACTGGAATAAATTTACCATGTAAATATGATAATGAGTAAATTCTAACATAGTCACTCAAACATCTACAGAATTTTTTGCGTCTTGCTTAATTAGTTACAGTTTTGTGTACTGCCATTTTTCATTAACTTTGTAATTCCTGGGCATGCATAGGTGGGTGCCTCACCAAATATTATTTGATTAACACACAGTATTCACATAATATATGCTAATTTTTATTTGCTAGGATGTTAATTATAAAGCTTTGATAATCTGTTTTGATAAATGTAATTCAGTGGAAAATGTGTGTTCCTAGAACAGAATCACATTAAATTAGGTGAGGTGGGTTAGGTTTTTTGTTAGACTATTATCTACCACATTATTGAGATAAATCATTTCCTTGTGGTACAGATAAGCCAGCTTTAGAGTAAGCATCAGGTTACTCCATATTTTTAACAAGTCCCTCAATTTTAAAATCTTTGCTATAGACCATTTGCATAAAAAATTGTGGCAGCTATCTCTAAAAGGGACCAAGGACCTTTCAAATTCTTCTTTTTGAGAAATTTAAGTTTCCCACCTCTTTTCTTTGTCAGCATTTCCAATTTCCCTCCCTCTCTCTAGCTTGTAAGTACATGTAATGTTTGGTTTTTATTTTCTTTTTTCTGGGCATCTCAAAAACAAGAGCATTATTCTAAAATTTTCATGACAATAACTTTTTTTGTTTTGTTTTGTTAAGAAAATAAAAATAAATTTGAATTCAAAGGAATCCAATGCACTGTGAATTGTTAAATTCATCATAGATATAAAATTATATGGGCACGTAAAGAACTGATTGTCACTAGATACAGATGTGAGTCAATACCTATACTTAGCACAGTTAATCTGTACTGAAAAATGCAGCTTACATATTCAGTTTCCTTTAGCTTAATTTCTGAACTTCTAAAGACTTCAAAGACTACACAGAAGCAAGATAAAGAGCTTATCTGCATAATTCTTATGCTAATTCACAGAAGGTGTCTTGACTAAAAGTACGCAGTACTTCTACAGTACATGTACACAGTAAGGGTTCACTCTTACTAAATCTTTTCCTCTAAAAGCTAAAATATTACACACTCCTTAGGTTGCAATTCATCTTACTTTGTTTCTTTAAGAGTGTTTGTGGTGCTGGTGGCAAGCATGAGCCTGGCTGCAGGCTGGCTGCTCACTTCTAGGGGATGACTGCAGGTGTTGCCCATAGAGCTGTACCACAGTGCACGTATGCAAACTGAGCATGAATCACAAATGTTAAATGTTTTAAAATTTAGAAAAAAACCCAAGCCTTTGTGTCCTGATTTTTGAAATTGTGAAAGAGAAATCAGTGTGTGAAATGCTTTTAACTGCTGCTCATTATAAAGTTGCACTCAGTCAAAAAACTAGAAGCAGTAATTTTCTCACCAAGTTTTCCCTTCCCCAGTCCTACACTCTCATATGCTATACATCAGTCGTTTCACTCTCAGGATAAAAGCAATTTGCAGTCCCAACATTACCCATCTCTGACAATACAATTTTCACATAATGTTTATAACTTCGTAAACCTTTTATTTCATGGAGCTTAAAGACAAACAAATGATCTGCACAGAAGAGGCACAGTTTTCTGGTAGAATTTGGGTAGGTTTTTAATGTTATGCTTTTATTACCTATTTGAAAATATTTATTACTTGTTCATATTATTATTGTGCTGTCAAATGCACAAGCCATTAAAAAAAAATTAGCTTGCAGTTGAATAAAAGGTCTAAAAGCATATTCTGCTAATGGAATGAGAGATCAAGATTTGTATTTTATAAAATTAATGTTTATCCCTTAATGATTCCACGACAAGAAAAGTACAAAAACTACAATGGTTCAGTAGCTCTCTCCACTTGAATGGCTTATGATACATGAATGTGTTTCATATAGGATTTAGCTGTTGTCTTGACATGAGGACGTATTCAAACACAACTGGTTTCAAACAGTGAGAAAGAAGTGACTTCTAGCTCCAAGACTCTAAGGAGAACAATCTTCTTTGCTGAGAAGCCTACTGCAAACACAAGTACTGTATACCTAAGAAATATGGAAGTTTGACATCACGCAATATTAAAATCTGTATTTCTCAGACATGTAAAATATCTGTGTAAGAATATACATCTGAGTTTCTTTCAAATGCCATAATTAAAGATTAGCTACTCCTTATAAACTATCAGCATAATGATTGCATGACAGAACTCTGCAAACATGAAATTGACAGAGCTCCAGGTAATTCTGCTGCCCTCACACACATCACACTAGCAGAAGATTCTTAATAAAACCCATAAGAAAATACCACTACCATTTAAAATGCTTTTAACCAAATTGCATGTTACAGCCTTTACAAATTGCAGGTGTTTTGTTTTTTCTATAATTGTATCCACCTTGTGCTTTCTAACTTTGTAGACTGTGTGCTGGCTAATGCTAATCATGGCTGTGCACACATTTTCATTACTAGATAACTGAATGTTTGCAATACTAGTTCAGCAAAATATAAAATAACATTGTTGCCCACAAAGCAATTCTCTGAGACTATCTTCACAGGCATTTTATATAAAAACGAAATAACTCTGTTTACTTACTTGATGAAAATCATAGAGTTCTGATTCACATCCACAAGTGAAGCAGGCTTTTCATTTTTAAAAAAGGAAGGCACACAATATGAAAGAAATATAATTCTCTTAGAAGTATAAAAAAAAAATCTGAAGAGTCACTGCTTTCTGCATAATACTTTATTGTTCCTGGAATTACACTGATTTATGTCTGTAGTATATAACTGATTCAGACAGCATCATTAGGCTAACCACTATGCCACCATTTATCATATGATGATATGCTGTACAGCTAATTATTTCCTTTGCTTTCATGAAACACTTCCTACTTTTTCCACTTTCTTTTACCTCCCTAAATAAACGTAGTCAGATTCTCTAGTATTCAGTTTGAACCAGTCTGCCAAAATCAGAAATTGTTTTAACAGGGTAACAGTTGATAGGCTGCTTAGTAGATCTTAGAGAGAAATCACTGAATGAAATGTAGATGAAGATTCTGCCTAAGAACGTATGGATCAACAGGAATTAAGCTTCTACTGTTTATTTTACCTCTACTACTTCTGATCCTACTAAATATGCTATGTGTAAACTGGATGCTGCAGGGTAAGAAATTCTACTTCTATTGGCAGCCTTATAGACTGAATCACTAATGGCAAACACTCCTACAAACAGAAATAATTAATCTTAGAACACTAAAACTTTTATTATAGTCCTACCAAGGCTGTCTTAAACCTAACATGATAGGTGCTTCTATTTGTTATCCTCTTAATCAGTTCCTAGATGTTATTTTTACATGAGTCACAACTTATTTTTAAGCTTGATTTCCCCTTTACCTGTTTTATTTTAGTCCATGTTTTGGCCTTGAATTCTTCACATCTTTTTCCAGAGCATCTAGATGTAATTGTTCCTTTTATTGAGCACTGTGTTTTGATATATGTCTCCTTTAAGAAAATCAATAATAAATTTTAATCTTGGAGACATATTGGTAGAACTACAGCTGCTGTCTTCTGAGTATATTAATGTGACTTTTACTAGGAAGAAAACACCTTGTTCTCTTAGAAACATTTCTAATTTTTCTCTGTGCTCAGTACACTCAAATGTAATGCTATTTTTCTGCCTGTGGAAAGGGAGGTGACCGGAACAGCAGAAAACAGAGAGAACGAATTGTAAGAACTGCCTTTTGTTAAAAAAAAAAAACAACACTTTTACTTCAAACTCAATATAAAGCAGCAATCTTAGCAGTTTGATAACGTGTTCAGATACGGGATTAAAAATATTCAGATTCCAATCTAGAATCTCAATATGGACCAGCTCAAATCTGACACTGGCAACAAAAAGTTTTCAAAATACTTGTCAATTCCGTCCAATGGATGTTCCAGGATTGAATGAAGTCACAAATATTAAGTTCAGTCCAGTGATTTGCCATGTTATTTTACAGCACAGACATTGTAATTCATAGTTAAATTACATTTTTTTATTTGGAAGTTTTTTTTGTTGTTGTTTTTTGTTTTTAGATTGCTGACATATAATCAACTACAACTGATTAATTGGGTTCTAACATCATATCCTGTAGCATTAACACTGCATTTTTTAATTGTTTTTGAAGTGAGGTGGTGTCCTCATACAGCTCATTTGCAAATCAAATGGAGTTTTGCCAGATTCTGGTCTTTTTTTCTGCCACTGTACACTGTATATCTTAAAAAGCTTACTCTGACACACAGTCCCAAAGGGAATTTGCAGAAAGAACATCCTAGCAGATGCTTATATAAAGCCTACATAAATAGGAATTAGTAACAGAGTGATCTATCCAGCAACTAACATTCTGAGCAATAGCTATAAAAATACTCCAAACATGCCCTTAGCCCTCATTTTTTAACGTGCATGTTTATATTTTTAAAGTTTATGCTATCTTTGCCAAATTTCAGACATCACTGATGTTATTTTGGACACAGTCTATTTTTCTGATCTGTCACTTGAATTAACAGGATAACTGTTCAAACCAAAGAAACATCTCAGTTTGCAAGTCTTTTTCAAAGACTTAGTGTCTTTGAAAGACCTTTGTGGAAACCCTTCTGTTGTGTTGCAGTATTAGACACAGCAACTTATTAAGTTGTTCTGAACTTACAACTTTCTTCTCTAATTTCATTGACTTCAGCGCTACTAATGATCTATATGGCTCATGGTCACAACAAAGGAAAACAAAATACATGCTAAACAAATACAGATTTCTTTCTGAAGTTGTATTTCCTTACAGGAATTATAGAATTGACCAGACTGATGGAACCATTCTCCTTTTGGTAAGTGCTGAAACAGGAGTTAAGTTCACATAAATGAGTGTGTGATTAGGCCTGATAAATTCTTTCTGATTCCTTGGAAGTTGATTTGATGGTATCATCCAATTTCCAATGAACAGTGTCTACAATGCAGAATTTCTAGGTGATAGCTATCAACTGTGTTTAGCACTCTCAGTCAAAGTCAACTGAACAGGGAATAATCATGGCACTAAAGTAGCCTCTTATCTCCAAAGTCAAGCTATTAACAACAGACCAGAAAGGAAAGCAAGGAAATACTCATTTTAGAGCCAAAGATAAACACAGTTCTTTTTTTTTTGTTCTTTTTTTTTTTCTCTTTTTTTCTGCTAATAGAAACAAACTACAAATATTTTACCCAATTAAATAATGGAATCTCTTCTGTTGCTTTGATAATTTACCTTTTCTAAATTTTAAATTAGTCTTCCTTCTTTTTTTTTATTTTTATTTTTTAATGAAAGGATAAACATTTTGATGCAACCATTTATTGAATTTAACTTCCAGTTCTAAAATGATTAATCTCAATATATGTTCTATTCGGACCAATTCACTGAAATTTGTTGAAAAACCACTGCCTTCAATTTTATCTTACAGATGTTTAATATTCAATTTCTTTCTCCTGCACCAGCTGGTTGATTTGGAAAAGCCTGTAGAGCTGTCAACTCTCCTGTGTTTTATTTGAACGCAGAACAATTCACTCCTGAGTCTTTCAACCAAATATGCCAAGCAGCATGCAAAAGCCAAATGAAACTCATGTTTCTAATAGTTATCACTGTATCCGGAGACAGTGAGAGACAACACTAGAAAAGCATTCATGAGCAACAGAGAGAATAAAACATATTGCTACTGATGGTAGAATAGACAAAGAGATAATTGTAACATGGGATGTATGTCCATTGTGCATGATTTGTACTTTAAATGTCAAAATCTGAAGAAAACAAAGCAAAGGTTATCACTCCACCAACATTGCTCTTATTGTTGTAATTGTATATATTTTATTTCCTCTATCTACCCTTTTGAATACCTTCATGACAATTTGACAGATGCACTTGGAACATATTTAATGACAAAGAAATACATGCAAATTCATGGATGTGTAGCCAAATAGTATTTCAATGATGCAAAACTGGAAGAACTGACCTCCAAAGGAAGATGAAGCTTTCAGGCGCCCTTGCAGCAGTACTCCACCCATGATCTCTGTCACCAGATACTGGCTTGTCCACAAAGTATCACTGCTGCAAGATAAAAGCAAGAAAAATCTCCGCATTTGTGCAAAAGCCACGTTTGTGAAAGAATAAAGGAAACAGAAAAGGAAAGAGGAAAAAGGAAAAGGGAAAGGAAAAAGGAAAAAGGTTAGCTGCACTGACAAGCAAGGAAGCAAATTCTGCTTTCCTTTAGTACATTGTGGTAACGTGATACTAACCTTCATAGGTAGGAGATCTTAATCAAGATCTTAATCAAAACAAGACTGGGCTAAAGACCTGGAGGAGAAAGTCAGTACAGGTAACTCACGTCTCTTGGTAGCAGTTTTCTTGCAATGTTTTGACTAGTGTTCTCCACCAAAACCTCTCTTTTTAGTTACATATTCTGCAGTCAATTTATTTGTACAATAACTGAAAATGAAGAAATTGCATGGACACCACAGGAAAATGAAGACACAAAGGCAAACAAAGAATTGCCTGCCTGAGGGAAAGAGAAGTACTCTAAAGTTCAAAATGTGTTATGTTAATCACCTGATCAATATCAGTAATCTCACTGCAGAAAAGTACACGGGATTTGGTTTTTAAATAGGTGCAAGCATTCTGGGGAAGTTCATCTCTCCCATATTTTTTTTTTTGTGAAAGATGAATTCATCCTTCCCCTACACACCAGTAAGTACCAAAAGGATAGTGAGACTTTTTACATGCACAAAAAGAATTTCCCATAGGCAGAAATATGAAGAATGCCAAACTTTTTATTATACCACTCATTTCAGAATTGCATACTGAAGTAAAACCATAGCAAAAAATGCATATGAGTTTGTGGTAACACACTATTTGTACAGCAGCCCTCAGGCACAGCTATAACTCATGTAGATTCCTAAGGACCTTTAATTTAAATTCTGTGTTTTTCTAAGAGTGCTCTGTTGAGACAACAAAATGACTGTAAGTTCTCACTTTTGTTTCTATTCTACCCTCAGCTGTTATTATGCTGCATTTAGAAACACCCAGATAGAACAATTACAGTACTTTCTTGCTATATTACTCTGAAATTAAATTTGAAAATGATGTTTCTTTAAAATTACAGAAATACATAAATATATCTTAATTTTTTTCCCCCCCCAATTTACACCTAATAAACATTGGCAGCATAAAACCAACTGCTTTGAGCAATTAAGGGACTTAGATACAAGGGTTAAATTTTCTTTCTTAAATAAAACATTTGAATATCTCTTTTTAAAGACATAACCATATTTTTCATATTGTCTTAATGTACAAATAAACTGCATTTTCTGCAGTTGCAATCATGGTACTGAACATCAGTAAAGTTAGTTTAATACTGCCCATGATTTGTATCTAAGAATACTGTTGTAGAAGATGTTACAAACAAACATATACTTACAGTAAAATGTAAAATGCAATTGTTGTCATTGCCCAGTATGTTTGCTAATAAAAGCAGTTTGATTCCTGGATGTTCAAAATCAATTTATCTTTTGGATTTGGAGTTCTGCCTGATCAATTTTTAAAAATGGTCTAAAAGTTTAAAGCAAGTTTTTGGTATAATTTTAGAGGGCAATGCTAAACATACCAATAAAACTATCTTTGTTAAGGGAATTGTCAGTCCGTTTTTTCCTTACTAAGCTATGGACTACACAACATCCCATTTTAAGATTAACTGCTATGTCCATTTCATTTGATACTAAGGGAAAAATAAGCATTTTATGATTAGGCAGTAATTGAGACAAACAAGTAGAAGTGTTGAAAGACAACAGCTCACCCAGGGACCAAGAATTCATTTTGTGTTTCATCTTATGCCTGGAACAGGCACCACTGCCTGTTGCTCCTACCACTTCAGGGACCAGAGAGCAGCGTTCTGAGTGGCTGCTTCAGGGATTTATGTTCCTCCAGGGTAATAGTGTTGATTATTTAATCACCTTGTATGCGCCACTTAGGCAGGGAGAAATGTAGTCATGTGCATCAGGCGTCATGAAGATCGATTGCACCGTCTGTTTCCTTCTCTCTGCAACAACCTGCTCTGACACTCAAGCGGCTGGAGCCAGTTTTTAGAACAGGTATGACATGTAATCAAACCAGCAGCCAAAGCAGGAAAAAAAAGACTAGAAATTTCTCCTAACATCCAACCCAAATCTCCCCCCCAGTGCAACTTGAGGCCATTCCTTCTAGTCCTATCACTAGTTACACGAGAGAAGAGGCTGATCCCCACATCACCACAAACTCCCTTCAGGTAGTTGCAAAAGAGTGATAAACTCACCCTTCAGCCTCCTCTTCTCCAGACCAAATAGTCCCAGTTCCCTCAGCTGCTCCTCGTAAGGTCTCTTCTTCAGGAACAGATGGTAGTGAGGGCACAACTGCATCCAGTCCCAAGTCTGCACCCTACCTGCAGCAACGCATACCAAAGCATGACGAAATATCATTATCTTCAAGTGGTATGTTAGTCTAAAGTTGGGGCATCAGGTGGAATAAAACCACTGTTTGGATCAACTCGGGAAAGTCCAAGTATTAGTTATCTTTGAAAGTGCAGTCACTGCTGCAGCACTCAGACAGAAGTGTACTCTCTCCCCCCTCTCTTCTCTAGGAACAGTTAGAACACCATTAATAAACAGAAAAGACAAAATAATTGAAGCTCTTCTTAGAATAAACTATTATTAGTCATGGGTGCACTGTCTGTGTGCACTAAAAAAATCTTTACAGTATCTGTTCTATCATGTTCCAATACGAAACATCTTGCGAAAATTTTCAAAGAATCATAGAATAGCTTGGGGTTGAAAAGAATCACAATGATCATCCAGTTTCAACCCCCCTGCTATGTGCAGGGTCACCAACCACCAGACCAGGCTGCTCAGAGCCACATCCAGCCTGGCCTTGAATGCATCCAGGGAGGCATTTTAAACCATCTACATAAAAGCTGTTCATAAAAATTCTCTTGCAAAGACTTACGCCATTCTGAAAGCAAAACGCTTTTAAAAAAATCACCAGTTTTCTTCTTTTGTAGCAGATTCCATTGCTCCAAGTGAAATTATTTGTAGACTAGTTTGACTGGAACTTGCTAGAATGTACACTTAGCAGGATGCTTCAAAGCCATGAGCAGTATCCCAAGATTTCTCACACAATTTACATGGGTAAATTCTCTGTAAGAAAAATGTTGCTGTTCTCACTTCCCATCAAAGACGAGCACTGCTCAAGATCAAAGTATTACTCAAAATGTTTTGTACTTATGTAAGGTCCCAAATTTCCATCAGATGCTCACATATTATGTAATACTGTAACAACACTCAGGATCCATTTTTTTTTTTTTTTTTTTTTCAGTGTAACTTTTTTAAGAGGCTTCCCTTTCATTTCATAGGATGGCATTCTAAGATAGGACCTAGTCAGAAAACTAACTACTGCTCTGATGTTCTTACACTGAACAAATAGCTTTTACATCTGGTACATCAAGTGACATGATTCATGTCATTGTCCAAGGGATTAGTAGATGAGTGTAGTTTCTAGTGGCATTATCAAAGCAAGAATAGGCTTTTATCAATTTAACAAAGGCTCAGCAGCAGATGCTATAGTTTGGTCATAAGCAGCATTAACAGAAACTGGAGCACGGGCAAGATACAGCAGGCCTAGTGAGCACTTTATCCTCTCTACTAGCCATCCAGAACCTAAAGTGGGATTGCCAGCTGACCCTCCAGCCTTCTGCATCATTTTGCTAACGCAAAACCATCAGTAAATATGCTGCCACACTTTCCTTTTAAGCTGTATCTGTTGTGATTACATACATAAGAGGACATAGTAATGATCAGCATCAGTGACTTTTCATATTTAGGATAACTAATCCCATACCTCCACAGACATTTCTATTGTCACAGATGACAAGAAGATGTCACAGAAGACTTAATGAATCTTATCTTAAATGAAATACTGAAAACTACTGCAAAGAGAAATCCTCTTTTTCATATCAAGTGAGCCATCACTGTTCTTCTCCTGAACTGGACTTGCTGCTTTGAAAGACGGTTTTCCTGAGATACACACAAAGGTTGCCGATCTGAACTATGAACTAATACTAGTGGCATGCTAACAAATATCCTTTATGTTGGCATTTTTCTGAAGTATCTGGAATACCAAAGTTTAGAGAAGCAAACTTCTGTCAGATAAAATCTTAAAAATCAGCACCTTCCAGCAATTCTTGTTCTCTCCTTCAGTTGTTTGCAAAGGTGGTGTGAGTACAATAGGTAACAGGCAGTATTAACATCTCTGCACCATTTTAGACTTGAGCAAAATTTTTTCCCATCCTGGTACTATGATAACTCTCCTTCACTATAGTAGCTGAGTGCGTAGTCAGTGGGGTTATTACTGCCTGGACATCATAACTTCCAGTCTCAAATGACACTAAGGAAAGGGTTTGTTCTGCTTATCTATTTACAAAGGACTTTACACAGACTTTGATATAAAGCTTTTGAAGTCAATGAAACTAACTCAGTGAAAAATCCCTTTGTTGAGTTTGGCTGTGCAATACTGGAAAATTCAGAAGAAAATTGAATATGCAGATATTTTTACTAGTAAAAGGGGAAAATGTTCTCATAAGACAGAGAAGAACTAGCTCCTATTTTATGTATAAGGACATCAACATTTTTTAAAGCAACAGAAAAGATTAACAGAAGGGGAACCACGGAAATTTGTAAAATGTAAAGTAACAAGAAGCTAAACTCAGAAAATATACATCTGCTTTTCCTGTAATCCATAAGATTAAGAAACTATAGTCATAGGAACCTTTATTCTTGATTCATTACAATAAAACAGAATTCTAGTTAAATCTCTTTTGAGATTGCCAGCCTTATTCACTTATACTGAGAACTCCTCTAATTTTTACTGTCCTATAAGATAATGATATCATATTTCTTTTCTCTCAAAAATTATGTACACATAATAATTTTTATTCCATTGTGGAATACAGCATATCAGTATTTTACATACTGGTATTTTATAGAAAACAACTGATTTACACAATGTACAATCAGCATGAAGATGGGAACTTTTTACACAATAGGCATGGATTCACCTGAAGGCAAAACTCTGCTCTGTTTGAATTCATAGAGGTGGGCTGGGAACAGATCTGAAATTCAGCTGTAAGTGGGTGCGCAAACCAAAGATGCAAAGTGAAAACCTTCACATTTATTTACCAACCATCTACACCACATAGTGCAAATATTACATAAAGACTTCTAGTTGTTGCAGAAATTAAAGCTCAGTTCTGCTAGTTGCATTTCCTTCTTGAATGAGGAGTTGTCCTAACCATATCAACAAACCAAGGTAAAAATGAAAATTTACTGTTAGTGGTAGTTTTGCAAACTGGCCCTGGTTTAAAATGAGTCAGGAAGTGATCGCACATAGAGTAAAACCACTAAGACTCACATAGCATTTGAGAGCACAGAGCAGAAAGCAGTAAACAGGCGAGGGTAGGAGATGTTATTTAAGCCCAACCAGCAGCTGGAATAGCTCATCTGATTGTTCACAGTATTACCTACTATGGATACACCTGGACAAATCTCACTGACAAATCACATATATATATAGACCATTCCATCTTGATATAATACTCAGTGCTAATTACATTATCCATTATTTAAGGCAATAGAATGTGAATAACAATATAAGGTAATTAACCAATCAAAAGAGAAACCTACTTTTGCATCATAATCGTATTAATTCTGCCTAAAAATGTTATGTCCCATTATCAATCAGAGTTTTCTTTAAAAAAAGTAACATTACTGCTAACATGCTTACCACATGAAGTGAACTTGCCGTTCTTAGCAGTTCTCCGGTGTATAAATTCTGGTCTTAAATTAACTCATAATAATTCACAGTAATTTCCTGCTTTAAATCAAAAGTTGACCCTTAGACGGTTTGAAAACCACATGGATGATTCTAGGATTCTATGATTAATGGAAAGATTTCCCATGATAAAATCAACATTTCTCTAGACATATAGACAAAATTATTTCTTAAGTAGACAATCATAGAATCATTTGAGTTTGAAAGGATTTTTAAAGGTCATCTAGTCCAATTTCCCTGCAATGAACAGGGACATCTATAGCTCGATCAGGTTGCTCAGAGCCCCATCCAGACTGACCTTGAACGTCTCCAGGGATGGGGCATCCACCACGTCTCTGGGCAATCTGTTCCAGTGATTAACTACTCTTACCATAAAATAAAAAACTCACATTTTCCTTATAACCAATCTAAATCTCCCCTCTTAATTTGCAAGCATTTCTCCTTGTCTTACCACAACAGTCCATGCTAAGGTTTCTGTCCTCTTCCTTCTTACAGCTCCACTGAGATACTGGAAGGCTGCTCGCCTTCTTTCAGAGCCCCTGGAGCCTTCTCTCAGAGCCCCAGCTCTCAGCCTGTCCTCAAAAGGGAGGTGTTTGATCCTTTGGATCATTTCTATTTTGGGGCCCTAGGGATGCTTTCCAACAAGTTTACATCTCTCCTCTATCAAGGACTCCACATCTGGATGCAGTACTCCAGATGAGGTCTCACCAACACAGAGTAGAGGGACAGGATCACCTCCATCAACCTGCTGGCCCATGCTTCATACAGTTGGCAAAGGTGATTGGCTATGTTGATTTCTGAGAACTAAGTAACCCTTAGTTACACGAAAAGCAAAATTCTTACTCTTACCTCACATAATACTATCCCCACCTTCCCTCCATCCCCAGACTGAATTTCAAGGAACAGTTTTGTATATCTTAACTGATAAGTTGCCTGCCATTTTAACAAGAGTTCTCTTATGAAATTTTGGATGGTCATTAAAATTCCTAAAATGTGCAAAACTGGGAGTTGCTCTGGGACCTGAGAGATCTTGCATGCTCACACTAGGGCCCAACCTTAGAATCAGGAACAGTTCCTATCATTGAATAACATCAAACATCTTTATTTAAGCATTCACCATTACTCGTTGCTGCTTTCTATTTCCTTCAAAATCCAAACCTCTTAAAAGAAACAAATCTAAAAGCCTCCATATGCCACCCCCAAACACATTTTGGGTTTGTTTATGTTTGTGTTTCTTGAATTAAAAGCACAGAAAGTAAAGGAGCTTCACACGCAGAACATCCATTCAGATATAATGAAGAGTCCAACTAAAAAAGTGTCTGGAATACTGAGTTACTACTGCATGTATCCTCATAGCCCCCTGTTGTGGTGAAGCTCTGAAGGAGTCTCCAGACAGTGGGTAATTTTATAGACCATATGATCTGCAACATTTACCATGCATAATAGAAGTAGATAAGGCAAAGCAAACAGCTTGAATTTTGTATTTCCCTGCTTTTTATTTAGTCTAGGTTGTTAACATCATGTGATATATTTGGAAGTCTCTGTGTTTATTGTATACGAATCTGTGCATGTGTGTGTTTATAGGTATAAATGAAGTTATAATTTCACATTATTTATCGCGTATCATAGAAGAATACCTTCTGAGCAATTAACTTGTGATTTCTAGAATTGCTAAGGAAAATATTTGCTCATTTTAGTCAGAGTTGGAGAAAACAAATTATACTTGTCTTGAGCTGTTATGTTCTGTTGTCCCTAGTGTATGCTGCTATTTCATGGAAGTCTTGATTTTTAATAACAACAAACGTCAACATCTATAATCAGTGCACTTGGCCATTGTTTACAACTTTAAAAATACTCTGCTATAAAGTGTTAAGCAAACAGAAACAAATGGGAAATGCATTTGCTAACAAGAAGCGCACTTCTTATTGATCAGGGCATACAAGAGTAGGAGGATAATCACATGTAGATTTTAAAGGAGAAGAAAGCCTCTTCACTATAGACCAAGTGTAAAGGGATTCCTCTACAAATAAAAAAATAAAATGCAAGTCACAGGTAACTCTGCCAACATATGGCTTGCTTGCCTGGACCTATACTTGAATAATCTGAAAGGGAAAGAAAGTAAGTATGAGGACAATTCAGTATTTCAACACTTATTTGGTACTTACCTTTAAAGTAATAAGGAATAGGGTCAAATTGTTTCTTTTTATATTTGTCATATTATCTCCAATAGCTCATCCCCTTAATTTTTCCACTTGTGTGGTTTACCAATATGTATATCACTCAGTATAGCACTTGAAATCTGCCTCCAATT